TCAGAAATGTCTTAGACGTGAGTAATTACGTTAAAAAATCATGAGTTAATAATGTAGAGTTAATAGAAAAGAATGGCCAGTACACGTACCAAGATAATTTATCAATATTAGCACTTATAACTTGATTTCACATATTTTATCGAAAGATTGACTGCTATTAAGATTCCAATCACACGGATGCACTTAAGCCGAATCGTCATTTTATCTGATTTAAACTTATTACGGATAATCTTATGGAAATGTGAAAACTTTTTAACGGTTCCAAAAGCAATCTTTCGATTTAAAAGATTGTCGTTACTGGGGTCGCGTGTACACATTGGGAAAAGGATTCGCTAGCATAACGAGCCAAGTTCCGCTTTTACCGGCACGAACTTTCTCCCTTCCAGACCTATGACGTCTGCAAGAGGGACCGTGCGCTATGTACCGCGAATAATAATCAAGAAGTGCTCCGATGAGAGGGACTGTGCTCATGAAACTACCCCAGACGGTTATGAGGAAACAACCCCTTGCGTCCGCGCCGAGACGAGTCACTTTCTTGTCACTTTTGATTCACCGGAAGGAGGTGCATAAGAGAAATACATTTTATCATTATCTCGTGATATCCTTAGAATTATTAAAGGATAAAATCCGAAGTATCTCGATAGTGGAATATACATATGTTAATTAATTAATTAATTCTACTGCTTTTTGTTAATTAATTCTAGATTTTTATACGTTACGAAATTAGAATTTACACGCAGTGATATTTTCATCGTATTTATTAATTTATTTTAATATGTAAGAAATTTTTAAGCATATTATAGATGCAAAATGTAATGAGAGATAATATTTCGTTTTTATTTATAATAATTTCTAGGCTTTTATTCTATTATTTTTTATTAAAGATTCTTGTAATTTTATTTAATTAGCAATTAAAGGCGATTTTCTGGCCATCATCGTAAAACGGAGTTCTCTCTGATCTTTAATGTTTACGGGTCTTTAAGTCTCCTTCACCTCTTTTGAAATCCGTCACGTTATATCAACTGCCCTGCTATACTCGACAATTCTACGTGTCACCGTGTAGATGTTGAACGTATGCAAGCACTCAGCATCGGTCAATGTAGTTGAAAAATCGGACCGCTTGTGTAAACGTTATAAAGCGACGCGGCTGCAGCTGTCGTCGGCGCGGAGAAGAGTAAAAGAAAAGAGAAGCAGATATTTAGCTCTCTTTCTCGGGAAGGAAGCCAATCTTGAGAGTAGGTCGTAAAAGCGGTCGTGTTTACCCCTCGCGGAGGTTTCACGACCGGCAACCAAGACGACGCGTAAACGTGCATTCTTTTTTTAGGATGCAACGCAATTCTTCCTCCTACTTTTTTCTTCTTGCTGATAAAGATTGACATCGAACTGCATTCAGAGATATCGCTTAATGATCCCATTGAAAAGGTGCCGTACTATCGTAAAGTCTGTTATATTAGTTGAAACTTTTCTAATCTCTCGTCGGGGAACTAACGAATGATAAGCTAACGAGATTTTTGGAGACTATCGCCTTTTGTGATCGAAACATGGACCGCAGACATGGACTTGTAGTAGAAATGTATATTTTTGTGCTCACATTCATATATAAGGTGACCAACTTTTAATCAACTAATTTTGGGATATCAACCTTAACATATCGAGACTCAAAAATATACGTTGGATTATAAAAACATGTGTATCTTATGTATAATATTATACTAATCAAATTAAATAAGATATATATAGCTATGTTAATAAAGGATTTATTTATTAATAAGATTAATTATATAATAATAAAATGAAACGATGACTTACTACTGCGAGTTAACCGTCGTTAACTTAATAGGAGATTGGTGAAAAAAATCCTTATAAATCCTAATAAATTTTACATTATATAATAAATCAAGACAAATGGCGTTTCGCTAAGGATTATTTCGGAACACCTCTATAAAAATTTTTATAATTCTATCAATATTGTCACGTAAATACCATCCATATTAATCACATATCAAAATCGCTGTACTAAATTTTTGTAATTTAATGCCAGTGCTTATTGAATTCTATTTCTGCTTGTATATACATTCACTTCAGATTTCGCAAAGTTTGTGTTTAGTAAATCAAGGGGAAAGCTTCTAAAGTACACAGATGTGTGCACGTTTCACTTTTTGACAGTTATAAAACTTAAAACATAGAACATATCGTGGCGGTATGATACTAAAGGAAATATCTGGATCCACAATTATAGATAGGGGAGACTTGCACGATCCGCGCGAAGATAAATAAAAGAGCTTGGGGTTTCGCTCTCTGATAGATTTATGACCATGCATTATGATTCCCAGCGCACACGGTGTGACGGTTAAATAGCGTTCAGGATCACTACGGGACATTTGTTACTAGTCGGAATAAATTACATGCTGAATGTTAGAGACTATTATACTTATTGTTATATTTTATATGTATTCAGTAAGACGACATTCTGTAACAATACTGACAATGAAAACAATCGGAGATTCGTGGGATAGGAATAAATAAATCAACTTGTGTGATTTAAATGTCAGCAACGTCTCGCATTACTCTTCCACGAATTCATCGATCTATTGTTTACTATAAATTAGAGACTCGATAACGAAGTTTAGCCAGGAACGATTTTGCCAAAGTTGACGAGAGAGAAAGGTATAATATATATACTCTATCTTCCTATATATATATATATCCTATCTCGCTCTAACTTACACTATTTCAGTTTTATAATCTTAATCCTCTGTCAGCAATGTGAAATTTTTACTCTTCGTCCGCAATCTGGCTTTTACTATACATTTTTATATTATTCTGGATTCTACAAAATATTTTAAAAAAGTCACACACTTGTGAAAACTTTAATAATAAATTTTTATTACCATAGAAGTTGATCTATCAGAATTAACAATCAAAAAGTTGTCTGTGCCTTATTAAGTCCAATACTGCGATAGAGAGTTAATTAATCCTGGCTATACACATTGGAATCCCAGAAATCTCAGTGCAATTTACTAAATCGAGATTTTTTTCGTGTTTCTAAACTTTTCTTTTTTTTTTGAACCTATACATATATCTCGAAGCTTTTTAATTCTATTAACTTTTACACATTATGCATTTGTTAAGTAGTAATTCAATCAATTTATTATTTAATTCTTTAATCAATTGTCCATCGATTGAAAAAAATTAATTGAAGTATGTTCATTTTTGCGGAAGAGAGTTACGGTAACAAATATAAATGGAGTTCTAGGGATCTCGAGTGTGTATATCGAGAGTAAAAAAAAGTATATATAGCTAAGATTAATATCATAGACTAAAACAGTCTAAGAAGCCTATTCTGTAACTCTTAACGACTATAATTGTAGCGTTACAGTGTCGTTGCGCAGGTTTTGTACTTGAAAAAGCTGCGCAACGATATTGTAATGCAATTAGTCGTTAAGAGTTACAGAATAGGTCCCTCAATTAGAATGAGATAGTGTGTATATGTGTGTGTGTGTGTGTGTGTGTGTGTGTGTGTGTGTGTGTGTGTGTGTGTGTGTGTGTGTGTGTGTGTGCGTGTGCGTGTGCGTGTGCGTGTGCGTGTGTATGTATAGGGAGAAAACAATACACATACACAGTAAAAACATTTTGTTGGGAATGATCCACTCAAGTTCTTATTAAAATTTTGTTGAATTTTTAACGTATTTGAATTAATTTGATATAATGTAATTATATTATTTAAATATTTTATGTGCAATTGATGTTTAACATTTCTTATTTATTGACATTGTATCAAAATAATACAATTTATGAGTAAAGTATTCAAATAATAAAAATATAATATGTTTAAAACGTAAATTTTAAGATAAATGGATAAAATGCGTGTTGATTTAATAAATAAATACGTATAATTACATTTAAAAAATATCCTACGGTTTACTTACAAATTGTGTTATAAATATTATTTTTTGGTTATTTTTTACATAATACTTGTTATTTTCTAACATATTTATCTTGTTAACACAAAAATTTAGAGTAGACCGCAGGACATGTGAAATGTGTTAAATTTAACACAAATTTTCCAACTGTACTCTCACAGGATAAAATCATTCGAAGCCAAACTCTGTTGTATACTGCAAATGATCAAAGTCAGCTTCGATTGAAGATTCAATTCTTCCATAAGCGTATAATTTTTAAAATTTAAGCATGAAGTACCTATATCATAATACAGGCGCGATACATAATATTTCATGATAGCGACCGCAGATTAATTATTCCCAGACACTTCCACAAACGCGATAACGTTGCGTAAATGGGAGATCGATGGTGTACGAGAGACGGCGAACGGCATGGGTGCAGTCAGCGTACACGATGCAACATATAATACATACATACGTGTTGCCAGCCGGCGGCCGTGGTGCAGAGAAACACACCGATCGATTTTCGCCCCGGTATAGAGGATTTAATCCACACCGGTACGGCCATTGTGTGTATGCAAAATCCGCGCAATACTCGCCGGACGTAGAGTGGCGAATCACGAACCTACGTGTGTCATATTGTACATTTTTACCAACCATCTAGCCTTTTTTCTCATCTCCTTTTTTCGGCATTCGACGAACAGAAATACCGCTTGAATGCGCAATTCGCGTTACGAGTATTTTACTCTTGCATCATGCACTCGACGCCGCTCATTTCGTAACAGTTCCAATTTCTTTGTACGTACGTATGTATCTCCTATCAATCGTTCAATGAAATTGGACACATGTATACTCTCTTCTTCATTGACGATCGCATGAACAACGATACGTAGTTTAATTGTGGCTAATTACATTTATTCTTTGAAAAAAAAATTTATTCAACATTTATTTAAAGAAAAAATTTTTATCCCCTTATTACAATAATAACAAAGATAAATTATGATTTTGGATGAATTTTTAATATTTGCGACGTGTATATTTATACCGATATTGATTGATATATTTTATTAACAAGATGATATTTGTTGTTTTTTATAGCGGCACCTGCTCATGGCCAAGATGGCGATCTCTATTTTTCGGTGAGCCCCGCGGAACACTCGGTTGTCGAAGGACTTCCAGTTCGCTTGAGATGCGAGGCTCAGCCGAGCTCGCATGTTAAATATTCGTGGAAAATAGACGGACAGCCCCTCGCTCCCAGCCCACGAAGGCATCAGGTCGAGGGTGATCTTTATATCACTAGGGTCAATCGAATCTTGGACAGTGGGAAGTTCGTTTGCGTGGCCACACTCGAGGAAACCGGCTATTCGATCGAGAGCTCGCCTGCCAAGATCGACGTTCAATGTAAGTCTATGATTCGTACACTGAAAGAATAATTTTGTCGAAGAATCTAAAAATTTGGCTAGATAATTTTATTGGACCATCAAAATAATTTTGCAGAAATCTTAAACATGATGAGCAATGCTACAAAATATTTTGATGGTCCAGCAAAATTGCTCTTTCAGTATATTAAATATATCAGCGCACGTTTGCGATTCATTATATAACACACTATTTGCTTTTATTTTATTTATACTTATACATATTTTGATCCGCGTTTTAAATATTTTGTTTTATATGTTATTAACATCATAATGCACAACAGGGATTTGAAATTTGATGTACATTATTCTTCTATTATCATTAATTTTTATTTGAATACACTAATTTGTATACGTAATTTATATTTGCAAAGAGTATTTTTAAATAAATATTTATTTACGTAAAATTGTAACATATTCATTGCCTGAAATTTGAAATATTATATATATATATATATACGTGTATATATATATATATTATGAAACTGTTTGGAATGGATTCTAGTCGGGATTATTACGTTTTGTCTAGAAAACACAATAGAAATCTAGAGAGTAACTGAACAATTTTGATTGAAATCCATTCTGAATAATTCCATAATGTGCCTAAGTGACTTATTGTTAGAATAAAATTTGATATTTGGAAATACGACTGGAAGATTCAGACAATTCAGAGTGACTGTATTTAAAGATAACTTATGAATATTAATTGTGAAAAATAAAACGATTGTTTCTTATTATGTCAAATTTGACGCTGTAAAAGACGCTGACAAGTAGCGTATAATTATTATGACAAATGTCTAATTTCATAAGTAATAAATATATCAATAAAAAATAATCATTTGCACTGTCCACTGTTGGACAATCGGCAACAGTCAATTGTTGCCGATTGTCTTTTAGGCTTATCTCTCTCTTTTTACATTTATTCATTGCTTTTATGTAAAACAGCATTTACAAAAATTAATTACGATTGCACGTAATAATTACCAGAATAATCGCTTTCGACGTTAATTACACGCAACTTGCATTTTGTTGTTGTATATTTGACAGAACAATAAAAGAAAGTAAATGAAAAAAATATAATGAATTCTATGGTCTACTTAACATTCGCGAATCTTGCCAATTAGTACAATGAATGAAATTTCAAACATCATACATTTCGAACTCATCGAACTAACAAAATATATGTATTGTTAATAAACACGATTAATGTATAACGATTTTTTAAATGACGACTATCGAAGTAAATATATCACGCGAGTCCTTTAAAATAGTAATTCATTCGCATTTTCATGAATCTATATGTTTTCAATTCGATAAAAAGCAAGTTACGTTTTTAGATGTTCAATATTATCGTGCAATCAATATTATTGCATTTTGGAAGGGCTCTTCAATTATTGTGTATAATATTATATAGATATTCCAGACGATTAATGATATTTAAAATTAAATATACATATGTACATATTATATACATATATATTTTATATATATATACATTACATATAATATATTAGGTGTTGGAATTAATTCGTAGCGTTTTTAATGAAAGAATGTTATTTATTTCACATGAGCATTAAAAAATACATTAATGAAAGTACTTCCCATCACTTGTAAAACGCTACGAATTAATTCCAACACCTAATATAATATAATATTGATTGTTCAAGAGCCGCTTTAAATTAGTATAAAATTTAGAGAACGATGTGAGGCTTGACAATAAATGGCTTGACCGTCACAGAATATTAAATGTATTATGAAATAAAAGTACGTTAAAAATATTTCATTTCTTCTGGTTCAAATTAATTATCGAGAAATACGGCTTCTCGATATTTAAATGATTCAAACTGCCGACTCATATATTATCACGCATTAACGAATCTCAAAATGATATAGGCAAATTATATTTCAACTGAAATTCAAAATACGATAACAAAAGATTATCCGAATTCAAGCGTCGTTGAGAAGATAATTATTATCCATAAATATCGCGAAAGAATAATTTATAATTTTTTCTATCGTTTCTCATGTATATACTTCTGCTTTAAATTGCACGAAATATTTGCTATACGAAAAATAATCATTATTTTGATAGATTTATGAATTCGCTAAATCTATCACGAATCATAATTCGTATTTTAATATTCGATTAATAATTGTGAGATATAATGACATTTGGTATCTTCTAATATTATGTTTTTTTTTAATCAGGAAACTATTAAGTCAGGAAACTTTTATGTATTTTTCTATTTTTAATTTTTGAGACTTCTGGTCTTAATAAAATTTTTTATGTCATAGTTAGTGTTTAGGGATAAACAGAATTCTTTCTGAAAATATATATAGTGTTGCTGGATGTTTGGAAAAAAGATATAAGAATTGAAAATGGAGACTAAGAGTAAGTGACTCTTGCTTTTTTGCTTAGAAATACTTAACTAATAAATGACTTTTGTTTATCTATTTGAATATAATAACACACACACTGATATAATTGTTTTATTTGAATAATGATTAATTCCTTTCAATTAAGAAAGCGCATTGGAATAAAATCAGTTACTTGCATTGTAATTGATGAAAAAATTTGTTTCATTTTTTTATTTTAAATAATTTTATTTTAAATAAACTAATTTGACATTTTAAACGAGATATATATACATACACACATATATGCAGATTTTAAAGACAATATAAATGGTTGATTAATTTTATTAATCATGAAGGTGACTCACTTAATGTTTCATTTTGTGTGTTTCAAAATTATTTACTTAATTAATTTAATTAAACCTTTATTATAAAACGATAAATTGATTTGGATTTCAGATTTTTTACATAATTATTCTCTCTTCTTAAACCATTTCCGAAAAATATTATAAGATTGGAAAACTATCATGCATGCATATGTGATTATATTATCTACAATTTTCTCTGTAAAATCGATTGTTGAATCATGAAAAACAAAAAGATTGTGTTTCAAGATCAGTTTTTTTGATTGGATCGCTATTATAAATATCAAATATCAAATTTATTTTTGAAATCTGTCCATTAATTGATCCATTTGTTAAATTGGAATTTTTTTTTTAAACTAACAGTTGGGCACTTTCTAATCCTTCCTTCCTCTATCAGGCTTTGCAATGGCGCTTGTATAACTTATATTAGTACGAACTTAGTCCAATGCAGTCGTGCTCATATCTAATGCTGTTTGTCTGCGAACTTGAATTAGCCGAACTTATTACCGGATGTCTCGGATGTATTAACGAACATTAATATAGCTTATTACTTATTCATGCGTGTTATACTATCCGTACGGAGACATGTGAGTTAAATATTCCTCTCGAGAGTTTCCTCGAGAGGACGAGGCGAAAATCGGCGAGTTGTATAACAGTGTATGGTCCTTATAAAGTGTACACTCACTATTCAATGATGCGACTGCATCGGTCCGATAAACCGATATAATCCGTCGTTCAGCCAACACCACCGTTGCTTAGTCAACAAAGGGACGTGAGGCGATGGTGGACCTCGTCATCATTGCCCGGGGGATTTCCGAGTGAGAGTGAAGGAGGGGCTCGCCGCCAAAGCAACATCGTCGCTACGGCATTTTTCAATCGTCCCGTCTCCGCAAAAGCGTAGATCAAACGCTTCGTGTGCAGAAATTACACGAGCCGAACAGAGTGAAACAGAGAAGCGATGGAAGGAGTCAGGTTCGAGAGGGAACGGGAGGAAAACGATAAAGGGGAGTTCCGCGGGGGATACGAAGGGGGGTAGTTTCCGTAGAGGAAGGCAGAAATCGATTCGTGATGGTTCGAGTTACGGCTTCCCTCCTCCCCCTCCCCCTCCCTCCTACACCCTCTCCAATTATTCGCCCGCGCGACATTAATTAAGCAAGATAATTTGCTCTCGAACCGCGCGCTGTCTGATATGGCGTCCGCGGTAACCTGCCGTTCTCGCGTTCACATTTTAATGATTCACGTACGCCTCGAGGTTTCGTTCTCTAGCTGGAAATATTATATAATTTCGCGGATATTAAAATAGAAAGAGAATCCGCAACTAAGGGAAAAACATTTTATACATGTATACGCCAAGTTGTTCCATCTATATGTAAGCATTTTTATGCGCAAAAACGCAGAAACGCAGAAACGATGAGATGCAAAAGCTCGAAAAGAAAAAAAATTAGGTAAGATGCGTATAGTCGACGCACGTGAGGATGAATGAGTAATGAAGAACTTTGCAGAAAAGTATGTATTATTAGATCACGCACATTAAAGGGGATGGAAGAGGGCGATGCGAGTGGAGACGAAACGGGAAAGGAGCAAAACGAGAAAAGGAAACGGGTTGCGTCGTTAGCGTACCGGTGGTGTACTCGTTATCATGTATCTCTTCGTAATTATTATTACACGCAGCTGCTAAGCTACCAGCGACGACGCAAAGTGCACCAGGCGGACGCAAGTGTATTTAACGCGCGCCAATTTCATTTAGTAATTGCAATAAACATGGCAGCAGTTAGACAGACGTATTCCCAGCGATGCTTTTTGTCCCGTGATACTCTTTATCTCGTGTCACGTTTTTAAAACATCTAATCAGCAGGTTTTTTAAAAGAATGATATACATGCAAGATGCGGCGAATAAATGTACGCCATTTATTAATGGCGCGCTATGTTATTTTATGTTATTTCAATTTCGATTTAAAATGGGAAAGAATACACGACATATTGGTCGAGCATTTGTACAGATGACATAATCGTTTGAGATTTTAATTCATATTTGATCATTTTAATTTCGTCGAAAAGTACAACGCTCCGACAGTTTTAAATGGAATAATTCGCGCGCGATACGTCATCGACGCGACGTATGAAAGAAATCCAATTCTATGAAAAATCGAAAATTCATCCGCTAAAGATAAATTTAGAATAATAATAAACCAATGTACCGATCAAAATTATGCGGAAATGTCTAATTCTCTTTATGAAGAGCTGAATTTAGTTTAACAGTGAC